TGAATTTCCACTCAACCCTCGCCCATTGTGGGCGGAGTCCGGTCCGGCCACCTAGCATAAGTGTTCCCATCGCGCAGCCTATACTCCTTCCAACTTTGAACTTTCTAGGTCCACGGGGACAGGAGTTATGGTATTCCAAAATGTTTTCTTAAAGCATTCCATTTTTGGAGGTAGCCTCGCCCATCGGGGGGTGGATCTCCCCTATTCGATCTATCTTACCAATGCACACCTCTAGTCACCCTTAAAACTCAGTTTTGAAGCCGTTGTGACTCAAATTGAAATCATGTTCTCCAGCAGAGCTCATTTCGATGCACGCCACCCCCACTGTGGGCGGGGCTCCTCCAAGCTGATGTGGCTTTACACTTCTCGGGTTGTGGCCCACCCATCCCACGCTTAACCCGGTCTCTCCAGAGAGATCTAAAGAGCTAAGGAATTCCGTGACAGACATACGACAAACAGACAGACATGACGACAGACGAAGCGCTTTATAGTAGGCAGGATTAACTTTTACAAATGATTTGATCTCTCACTCCGACGCAATCGTTATTTGATAGACAGGACGTTAGCTGCATTAATCCGTTAGTCGTATTTGATTCAGAAAGTACTGCTCAAGCATCGAAAGACTTCTAACCTACTCTGTATATTAACCACAATTGTTTACCAGCTTTCTTTGTAGTACTTAGTTTGAGCTCGTATACATTTCAGAGGTGAAATAATTCGATGCCTCTCCGAAGTACGTTTTGAACATAAAGTACTCGGAACTGACGCCGACTTGACCGAGCCGTGCAAGCATCAATTGAAGGTCGCCTACCTACAACAAGAACAGGTAGAAGTGAGTTGGCTGTTGTGGGTAGTTTTGTTTCCGGGCTTTCATTACTCGTACCAGTGGTCCTTGTGACTTTAGGTGAGAAGGTGTCAGAAATGCAACTTACTAACAATTGGCTTTAATGTAGTTCCGCAAACTATTCAAAACTTATTGCTGGCGAGAACCCTAGATTTGTCACCCTTCGCAGCTGTCACACACATTGCTGCGCTATAAATTTGCGATAGCGTATGAAATGGTCTTTCGCTTGCTATCTCGGAATTTCTCGTGCTATTTTTCCTTGGAGTTGTGAGATTTGCTATTTCTTACACCGCTTGCGTAATCCCAAGGATTACTGGTCTTGTGTGTACGTGCCGTCATATCATCCAATTATCGTGGGAGTTGGTATGCATTGCTAGTAACTGTGATGCTCTCGCATTCCTCTTTGTGTTCTTGTTTCATTTTTTGANTTCCTTCATGGGCTTGCATTTGTGAGCAAGCTTTCTTCGTCTTAATCACTTCAATCATCTCTGCATTGTTCAACCTGTTCGGAAGTGGATGAGTACAACGAGTATAGTAATTTTCAGGCGATTGTGCAGTAGGTGATTTCAGCGCTGAAGCTATGGTAGCAAACATTACAAGGGTTTAAATTCAATCCATCAATATTCAGGACATTTATTTGATAAGCTAATTAGAGGCCAAGTAAGACTGATTACATAGAAGGATAATAAGTTCAATAGTGAGATGAAGAATAAACCGTTCTTTATTGGCCCTGAATCTCCAGCAAACGATTTGCAGTTTGACCTCCATTTCTGAAAGTCAGTTTTTGACAGGAAAAATATATCTTTTTGACTGATATACAGTACCGCTCAAAAATCTTCGGTCAAATGCTTTGACGCTTTTTCGTTCATAACTTTTTTTCTTAGTTGACCAAATAGCGCGAAATTTGGATATGTTTAACTACAGCATATTTCACTATACCCAACACTATTTGAGTGCGAAGCTGCAATATCCACACATTGAGCAAGGTGTTTGTTGCGGTAGCAGATTATGCTAAAAGTAAAGTTGTTTACGTCTACCGAAGACTTTTTAGCGCTACTGTAACTTTGCTATGAAGAAGTTGACCTCTTCAATCATCATTGTTCCTTATTGAAAGTTCTATGGCGTATGTGCTGCAGGCCTCTACTGCTCACATGCGCTATCGCGTTTCATTTTCTTTTTTTTTTCTCTAAAACCTTATGATATTCCGCATTCTTTTGTTATTTCCTTTTTTTCTCTCGATGTTCTCTCGCTGAAATGCACTCGCAATCACTATAGCATGACTTAAATGGATGATGGCTAACCCTGGTCAGAATTTTATTCATTATTGAGAGCCGCTTATATTTAGTTTGATGACAAGGAACACATGGCGGATGCTGATCCCAAGTTTGCGGAGAAATGCGCGCGTGAAATTCGTCAATTCAAATGTGATCAAGCAGATTCATTTGAAGATACTGTGGAATGTTTGAGGCTTAATTACGAGAATCTAGGTAATCTTTTTTTAGTTATTATAGTTGTCACAAACTGTTGTTACAAACTGTAAAACAGAGCCATTTTAGGTCCCGAATGTAAATCAATGGTGTTTTATCGGGAGAAAATTGAAGCTGCTGATAATACTATGGATGACGAGCTTCAGGTTGGTTTGTGTTCAAGTTGTATTGGAAGTATTAGTGTGTTTGAGAAGGTTCTTCGGAACAATGATACACCTGTGATAGGAGAAGAGCTCTTTGGATCCTGAAAGTTTATCAAAACTAGCTTTTACTTTGACTTTGAGTTTTTATTTTGTTCAACTTACTTATCTTTACATACGCTTGTGAAATCTTTCACTCTGGCGGAGCGCCGCGCTCCCTGCTCCCAGTCGCGCTCCATGAACGGGAAGATGTTAATTCCAGTGAGAGGGTGCGGTAATCGCCGAGAAACCTCTACCACTGGGCGTGGGAGTAAGCGTAGAAAGCTGCTACCCATTTTACAATTAAGTTCTGTCTAACAATTTCAGGAATCTTGATGAGCAGAAAATACTTATAACTGCTAGATTAACTGCTAGTTTCCGTTCAGAGGAAATGTAAATACGATATCGGAAAGTTCTGTCCTGGTCAGAACGGGGAGCATGTATTGGACTGCCTGACAAACACGAAGATTGTGCGTTTATTGCAGAAGGAATGCAAGGCGGTTGTGCAGGTGAGCTTCGCTTCTATTCAATACTTGCTCTCAATACAGTGAGGAGAAGGGGTTTCGTATCCTTTTCGTTTATCACGAAATCCAGATCAAAATGCGTAGTACGACTAATCATCTTGGCTTTCATAATTAATTGTCAATTTTTGATTGAGAGTAATGATAAGGTAGGAAAAAGTTGGTAGAATTACTTCCTACTGGTTCAGGAACGAATGCGAGAGTCTGCACGAGATATTCGCCTGCGGCCAGGTTTACTTTTGGCATGTAAGACAGAGGCTGAAACATAGTAAGTTGATATTTTAAGCTTCTGATTTTTATCATTCCATTTATTAAAGTCCAGTACAGTACAGGCGGTATATACAACAGGCATGACTCCCTGGTGTGATTGCTTCTTGAATTTAATATTGTTTTGTAAGTGTTATCAGTTTCTCTAACACTGCAACGTGAATTTGCGACCGATTTTGTTTTCCGCTTTACTACTTTTCACAAGTGGCCGTGATTTTGTTCGATATCCGAATAGTTTGAGAAGATAGTGTTCTAACCCACTACTTATAAAATAATTCTCTTTCGGCTACTGCGAGTCTCAATTCGGGCCCATTCGAGATACGTTACCAGTGGTCCCGTACATGATTAATCGTGCTCCTGAACCTTTTCATGTCCTGTTATTCTTACCAAAAATCACTGCGGTTCGACTACTGCAAACACAATGTACTTTAATGTCAAGGTGCTACCGTAAAACCCGTCCCCCTGTCCCCTCCCCCTACTGAAAAGTCAAAAAGAAACAATGTTCGAGGCCTGAATGGAAAACATCACACGGGCAATCATTATATGTCATAGGATAATTCAGCGTTATGTGAATAACTCTGCAATGTTATGTCGCCATTAAGTGAATAGTTTTCTTAGGTCGGGCCTGTGATGAGCGCTATCGCTCTCTTGTGCGTTTGGGTTACGTTTTATCAAAGCCAGCATTTCAGTTGTATGGATGAACTCAAAAAGTTGAAGATGCCGCAATATGCACAGAAGGTTCTGGAAGGTGCCGTTGTCGGATGTCTACGGGAAAAATATCGTGAATCAGCTCACAATCGTATAGATCTTAGCGCACAGTGCCAAGCAGAGGTGAATGATGTAACTACTTTCTCTTGTGACATAGGAATGTGAAGTATTCTGGCTAGATGATTTGGAAAAGAGTAGATTGACACGCTTTCAAAATGGGTATCATTAAGGCTGCAACAGGCCGTGTGAATACTAAGACTGGATTCGGTGAAGCTGGTTTTAGGTTAGATGCTAGGTTTAGCCGTGCGTTCTACTTCCTTGTTGATGACCACTAAACAAACTTTGCTGACAGCTTTGGTTAACGTTGGAACACGTGATTCAACTATTTATTTACTTCTTTTTTAACTCGCTCCATTGTCTATTCTTGCCAGTATTAGCGATTTTATTGCTTAGAAACATGGTTGCCACTAAGTTTCAAATCAACACTCAGTCTCTTAATTTGAGGTTAACATGAATTCCAGTCAAAACTAAAACGCTCTGAGACATGACGAGGAAGGAGGGTATGATGTTAAGGAGAGTGACTTTCCAGACTTTCCAAGCAATGCATGAATCTGAATCGTTACGCATTAATTAGCATCAACTGGCTGTAAGGGTCCCTGATGTCACGATATTGATAGCGTTGACGTCTTTTAACCCATTGACGACCGTCACGTTTGCCGGGGAAAGCGCCACGGGGGACCGGCGCGCTTTTCGTCCACTCGCGACTGCAGCCCATATGTGGACTACATGGTCCAGAATGACCGTTTTTTGAAGTTTATGAGAGGAAATTATAAGTTTCTCGGAATGTTCCTTCAAATGGATTTGGTAAGAATGCCCACATTGAGTGATTATTGATCTTTACTATAGAACCGGCACTCGAACCAGTGGTCATTCAATGGGAAGCTTTTACGATATTTGCATCTGGTAGGTAATAGAGAAAATGCTTATGACAGCCGTATTTTCGAAATATCTCATTTTTTGAAGTTGTTCAACAAACGAAGAATTCACCACAGATAATATATTTTTTCGAAAAGCACCTTTAAAATTGCAAAATCAGAAGATTTCTTGGAACTAGGCAGAGTGTAGTTTCATTCAGGCCTGATTTGATGTTTAGAAAAGAATGATCGTTGAAAAGTGGAAATATAAATGAATAAATTTAAAAATACAACTGCAGTCCACATGTGCACTGCACGGTCACACACGGCCAAAAATGTGCAGTCCATAAGTGGACTGCATGGTCGTCTATGGGTTAACATTCTTCTCCTTGCGCCGCTTCTAGGTAAAGAAAGATTGCCGAGAGTTCGAGACGAGTATACCGGTACCTCATTGACGAGATTGGCTCAAGTTGGAGCATGTTTACTGGTTACATAGTAGCAGCTGTTGTGAGACTTTTCGGAACTGTGGTGCAGGAGTAAAGGGATATAGTGAGAAGGAACGTTTTTCATAATTCCTTTCTATGGGCTTACCATAAGTCTCTATACCTTCCCAATGACTGGTGAAACACTTATCCAAGGATCAGTATGTCCGTATAAGTTTTTTGTGGCGGGCTCACATTTTTCTCAGGTCTCGATGTAAAATTTGTAGATTGTCTATTGCAGGATTAGCGAATTATTAAATTCAATGTTTCTATTCCTTATCAATGCAAATGCGTGTATTTCAGATCACGAAAGCTATAGTGGAGGCGGAGTTTGATCCTCAGTTAGATCCTCCGCTGTATCACGCTTGTCAAGATACTATCAGGTTACATTGTTCTGCAGCGATAATTCAGCATGTTAGTTTTCCTTTTTTTCTTATTATGGCTTTGAAAGTATGAAGGGTAGGGTATTCCAACGTTCTAATTGCGAATGCTCAATGAGTTGTTGGGTAGTAAAAATGTGTGCAAATTTGCTGAATGTTTTCAAAATGTGAAGTGTTAGAGGCCAAGATTATCGGCTTTTTTTAGAGCGGCGGCTTCGATACAGTACTCGACTGCCTGAAAGCTGATTTCCACAAGGGAGCTATCTCAGATCCCGACTGTAATAAACAGGTAACGATGAGTTGTATCCTTTCTGCATTATGCTCTTTCGAACTCCCTGCGGGCTGTTAGGAATGAACTAAGATGCAGTTGGCACATTTTTTTTTAGTGAATAGTGCGAGTTATTGTATGAGACCTTTTCTCAGATAGCACGTCGTGTTGAGGAAACGATGATCGACATCCACCTCGATCCGCCTCTTCTAGAAGCCTGCTCAATGGATATGCAACGCCTTTGTCGTGACGTTGTGCCTGGACATAGTCGGAGTTAGTGTTCAATTTTTTTTCTTATAATTTTCGAAGTTTTGGCTAGTACAGAGCAGGTCGGTTCATCGATTTCCCTTTCATAGCTCCGACTGATTTCACGCATAGTTATTGTATGAGACCTTTTCTCAGATAGCACGTCGTGTTGAGGAAACGATGATCGACATCCACCTCGATCCGCCTCTTCTAGAAGCCTGCTCAATGGATATGCAACGCCTTTGTCGTGACGTTGTGCCTGGACATAGTCGGAGTTAGTGTTCAATTTTTTTTCTTATAATTTTCGAAGTTTTGGCTAGTACAGAGCAGGTCGGTTCATCGATTTCCCTTTCATAGCTCCGACTGATTTCACGCACGATTTAACGCTATTACAAAACCCGATAGTGTTGGCGTGAGTATGCTTGCATGAGTGTGTTTGTGTGTACATATGTGTGTTTATAATATATATGTGTGGATGTGACTGGAAATTCATACCTTCTGTTTGTCTTGAGCGCGTCCAAATTTGGAGAATGGTGACGTTCGGTAGGATTTCAACACTGATGGAGGATGACAAGAAGTGACAACCACCGATAAGAACTACTTTTAAAAACTTTATAGAAAGCAGTAGTCACAAGATCCGTTGACCCTTCGTGTTAAAGGCACCGTTCACGATAATTTTGGGTAATCCAGATTATGATGAAAAATGGAAGACAAGATCGAATCTAGAGCGACTGAGGTGAAGAAACTGCGTGCATCGGTGTTTCCAAAGTGAAAAAAGGCTTCGAAAAAACGTTAAAAAGGGTGC